CTTCTACTTCAAAGTCTTCCTGATTCGTATGATCAACTCATTATCAACTTGACAAATAATATCCTTTCAGATTATCTAGTCTTCGATGATGTTGCAGCCGCTATCTTGGAAGAAGAAAATAGGCGCAAAAACAAAGGAGACAGAAACAGTTCAAACCAAACAGAGGCATTGTTGGTGTCAAGAGGAAGATCAACGGAGCGTGGCTCTAGTGGGAGTCAAAGGCAGGGGAGGTTCAAATCAAGAAGTAAGAAGGCTGTGAAATGCTACAACTGTGGTAAAAAGGGGTACTTCAAAAAGGATTGTTGGTTTAAAAAGGGTATAGAGAATTCTGCAGAGTCATCAAAATCTCAAGGGTGTGTTGCAAGCACCTCAGAAGATGGAGATGTTTTATATAGTGAAGCAGCGACAATCTCTACAGATACAGAAGAGCTCACTGAGGTCTGGCTAATGGATTCAGGAGCAACATGGCATATGACTCCTAATCGAGATTGGTTTCATACATATAAACCTATCTCTAGAGGCAAAGTGTTCATGGGTGATAATCATGCTTTAGAGATTGTTGGCATTGGCACCATCAAATTGAAGATGTATGATGGCTTAATTCGTACTATTTCAGAAGTGCGACATGTGAAAGACTTAAAGAAGAATCTTTTGTCCATAGGAAAATTTGATAGTCTTGGCTGTAAGATCCGAACAGAAAATGGAATCATGAAAATCATCAAAGGAGCGCTGGTGGTTTTAAAGGCAAGAAAGACAGTTGCAAATGTATTTGCATTAATGGGAGAAACACATTATGAGGCAGAAGCGTCAATCGCATCAGCCAGTCCTGCAGAAGAGAAGACGATGATGTGGCATCAAAAACTAGGTCACATGTCAGAAAAAGGTTTAAAGGTTCTCTCTGATCAGAAGTTACTCCCTGGGCTTACAAAGGTTACTTTACCTTTTTGTGAGCACTATGTTACAAGTAAGCAACACAGGTTGAAGTTTGGCACATCTACAACTAAGAGCAAATGCATCTTAGACCCGATTCACTCTGATGTTTGGCAAGCACCGGTTGTATCCTTGGGAGGAGCAAGATACTTTGTATCATTCATAGATGACTTCTCTAGGAGATGTTAGGTGTATCCAATTAGAAGGAAGGCAGATGTGCTTACAGTCTTTAAAACTTTCAAAGCGCGGGTGGAACTTGAATCTGAAAAGAAGATCAAGTGTTTGAGGACTGACAATGGAGGAGAATATACCAGTGATGAATTTGATAACTTCTGTCAACATGAAGGTATCAAAAGGCAGTTCACAACGACATACACTCCACAACAAAATGGAGTGGCAGAGCGGATAAACAGAACTCTATTAGAAAGAACAAGAGCAATGTTGAAGGCTGCAGGTCTAGGAATGTCATTCTGGGCAGAAGCAGTCAATACCGCCTGTTATGTGATAAATCGATCTCCATCAACCGTAATTGAGCTAAAGACACCGATGGAGATGTGGACTGGAAAACCAGCTGATTATTCTCGATTGCATATATTTGGAAGTCCTGTGTACGTGATGTACAATACACAAGAAGTTAGCAAGCTGGATTCAAAATCCAGAAAATGTGTATTTTTGGGATATGCTGATGGAGTGAAGGGGTATCGCTTGTGGGATCCCACTGCCCACAAGGTAGTGATCAGCAGAGATGTCATATTTGCAGAAGGTAAAATGTAAATGGAAGAACATAATAGCATTCTAAAAGAGACTACAGCAGTCCATGTGGAAAATACTCAGAATCATGCTTCTTCTGAAGTTGTACCAGAGCATGAAGAGCAAGAACAAATAGAATCTGAAACTCCTGAAGTTCGGCGGTCAACTCGTGAAAGAAGACCGCCGGCTTGGCACTCAGAATATGTTACTGAAAGTAACATTGCATACTGTCTTCTAACAGAGGATGGAGAGCCATCAACTTTCCATGAGGCTATCAAAAGCACAGATATATCTATGTGGATGACAGCAATGCAAGAGGAGATTGAAGCTCTGCATAAGAATAATACTTGGGATCTTGTTCCGCTACCACAAGGAAGAAAGGCCATTGGCAACAAATGGGTTTACAAGATAAAACGTGATGGCAATGATCAAGTGGAGCGGTATCGTGCAAGATTGGTGGTGAAAGGATATGCTCAGAAAGAAGGAATAGACTTCAATGAGATATTTTCTCCGGTGGTACGACTTACGACAATTAGAGTAGTCTTAGCAATGTGTGCTATATTTGATCTTCACTTGGAGCAGTTAGACGTGAAAACTGCATTTCTTCATGGAGAACTTGAAGAAGAAATTTATATGCTCCAACTAGAGGGTTTTGCTGAAACAGGTAAGGAGAACTTGGTTTGCAGGTTGAACAAATCTCTATACGATCTCAAACAGCTGCCGAGGTGTTGGTATAAGAGATTTGATTCCTTCATAATTAGCCTTGGGTACAACAGACTCAGTTCAGACCATTGTACGTATTACAAGAGGTTTGAAGAAGATTTCATCATTTTGTTGTTGTACGTGGATGACATGTTGGTGATAGGCCCCAACAAAGATCGAATCCAAGAATTAAAGGCACAGTTGGCTAGGGAATTTGATATGAAGGACTTGGGACCAGCAAACAAGATTCTAGGGATGCAAATTTACCGAGACAGAAGTAAGAGGAAGATTTGGCTTTCTCAAAAGAATTATTTGAAGAAGATCTTGCGACGCTTCAACATGCAATATTGTAAGCCAATTTCCACCCCATTTCCTATTAACTTCAAATTATCCTCAAGTATGTCTCCTAGCAATGAAGTAGAGAGGATGGAGATGTCTCGAGTACCGTATGCATCAGCAGTGGGAAGTTTAATGTTTGCCATGATATGTACAAGACCAGACATTGCACAAGCAGTGGGAGCAGTTAGTCGATACATGGCAAATCCTGGTAGAGAGCATTGGAATACTATTAAGAGGATCTTGAGATACATCAAGGGTACCTTAAATACTGCATTATGTTATGGAGGATCAGAATTTACTATCAAAGGTTATGTTGATTCAGATTTTGCTAGTGACCTTGAGAAAAGGAAGTCCACTACAGGCTATGTGTTCATAATTGCAGGAGGAGCTGTGAGCTGGGTTTCTAAACTTCAGACTGTTGTAGCATTGTCCACAACAGAAGCTGAGTACATGGCAGCTACACAAGCTTGTAAAGAAACTTATGGAGGAGCTCGGGCACAAACAAGAGAATATTCTTTTGTATTGTGATAGTCAAAGTGCCTTGCATATTGCAAGGAATCCAGCGTTTCATTCAAGAACAAAACACATAGATGTTCAGTATCACTTTGTTCGCGAAGTGGTGGAAGATGGAAGTGTGGATTTTCAGAAGATTCACACAAAGGAAAACCCAGCAGATGCTTTAACGAAACCGGTTAACACTGATAAGTATATATGGTGCAGATCCTCGTACGGCCTAGCAGAAATGTAAGCAGCATGAAGATGGCAAGTATAGAAAGGATAGAAGAAGCACAAATAATCAAGTGTGAAGACTTGATTAACTCATCAAAGTCTTCAAGTGGGAGAATGTGAAATCACCCTAACATTGTTGACAAAATCAACAATGTTTGTCAACAATGTTAGGCACAAATTTGTCAACAATGTTAGGCATAAATTTGGTGCCACCTACCTTACTCTTGTCTTTTGCATGGATGTTTGCCTATAAATAGGCAATGCATTCAAGCATTATAGACACACCACAAGAGAGAAAGAAGAGAGGGTGAGGAGAGAATAATCCCACAAAATTGTGAGGTATTTGTGAGATAGTAAGTGAGGTGTTTTCTCCTAATAATAGAGAGATTTTTGTTGTTCTCCTATTATTAGAGAGAAGTTGTATTCCCACATTACTTAGTAAAATCCTTCTATACTTGCCCGTGGACGTAGCCAAATTGGGTGAACCACATAAATTCTTGTGTGTCGTTTCTCATTTTAACTTATCCCTTACCTTTTGTCTTGTCGGGTTTGCATGCCAGCATCCTAACACAAAGCACGTATGCCAGAAATATCATCCTGACCGAGCTCCCTTTTGACAGTTCCTTGTGGAATTTCTGCGGACATAACGGAATTTTGATCCATGCTGTGCTCGAGTCCGAGAAGATGCCCGATTTCAGCTACGATTATACTTTAATCGATCAATATCCATATGAACTTTTCTATGGCCAATCAATAATTGGATCAATGTTTCGAATGTGAACTCGTTGACAGAAAACAGTGCAGTTCCCTAATGCAGAGTGATTTCCGAATGGCATTTTCCATGCCCCGTCTGTCATGGACGTGCAACCGGAGGATTTAAGTTTTCAACACTTGATGTGAAAAGGTTGCATGTCCCTTTCTCAACAATGGCATCATATAATAAGATAGACCAGTGACTCAACTCTATGATTTATAGAGAGACCATTAATTGTCAGGCAAAAACAAAAAACAAAATGGAAAGTAATATCAGTCATAATATGAGAAAAACCAACAAAATAAGATATATAGCTTGTTATTCGTGAATTAACATATTCTTTGTTATTGCTGGAGCATGGAGTTGGAGGGCTGGAGATAGTTTAACAAAAGCAAGAATGTAAACAGTGCACTGAAAGTCTTCACCTTTTTCAGCCGTCTGGCAGCAGGGTATGAAAAGCCGGATCAAGTCTTCTTAGTCAAACTGCATTCATGAAGTTAGCTTTTAAGGAAAGGACCCATCGAGGAGTAGTTTGGTTTGACATGATAAGAACAACTTTTGCATGTATTCTTAATTTCGTATACTGAGACCCACATATTATAGCAAAGAACAGTTTAAATTTTTATTATTGTTGTAATTTTTATTTTTTATTTTGTAATGTAAGGTAGTTTTCACAAGCTTTTTTTTTTTTTAGAAAAGTTAGTGCTGCTAAAACCGAGAAATGAATTTCACCTTTAAGATCATGAATATCTAAAATGAAGCCAAATTTTACATAAATTCATCTAATAATTTGTTCTTGACTGTGAAGAAATTTAATCTTGATATACACACAGAATCTTATCCAAAAATAACCTGGACATTATAGTTAAAATAAATTGGTAAATTAATCTTGACTTATTTCTCGATTTATCATTTTTTTTTTCTCTTGTGATGCTGTGAAAAAAATAATCCTGTGAACTGTGAAGTGATCTGGGAATGTAAAGCACGATACACTGTTCTATCAAGGGAGGCTGCTGCGAGAATGTGGCCATTTTTTAAGGGTCAAATGCTGGAACTTCATGCAAAGGAGAATGTAAAGCACGATACACTGTTCTATCAACGATACTCCTGTAAGGATCCTCCTCTCGTTTCTTCAAAAGATAAGCAATGCAACGTTCAACTTCAGATTTTATGTGCAGGTATAACTGGTTTGCATTTTCTCTGTCTTCAAGGATCTCTTCCTTTCGGCCCTTTGTTTCTATAGGCTTTCCGAAGAGAAAATAAAAGCGGCCCGGAACCTTCGGCAGAATACCTGGGAGATATAGTTCTTGGTTGGCAACCTCCCCTTTACTCTTATCCCTATAAGAATACATAAAGTTCTGTCAACAAAAATGTATCAACAAGTAGCTCTGGATTCTTATGTTAGCTTGACTTCTACAACCATGCAATGAGTCCACAGCATTGCAGGGAGAATAATGAGAATAATCACCTTAGTCTTATGGAATTACGATTAGCGTCTCTGATGTAGTCATTGACCACTGGGATTTTCATGAAGTCGTTGTAATCAAGAACCAACTGCAAAATCCAAAGAAAAGAATTTTTTTAAAATAAAATAAAATGCAGAGAAATTCGATTGCAATCTCAAGTTTAAATATGGAAGAAGGGAAAGTTCATGGAAATCTTTGGACAGGAGCAAGAATTTAAGTGGAAAGTATCGGAAATGCACATCTCAACCAGACTTTGGGACATACACAGTGCAAAACTTGCATAACAAGAGCATATACAATGCTAACTCTACCGGGTTTGTTTGCCAAATTAATTTCTGAGAGATGATGCGCATTTTAACAAATTTCTGCTTCAAGCACATACAATGGATAGCTACCTCGAAAATATGGGTTTTTTTTTCTATTTTTCCCAAGTTAGCCTTTAGGTAAACAAATATTGTGGAAATAACACAGCAAAAAAAAAAAAAGAATGGATCAACAGAATAAGGATCCATGAAAAAATTTATAAAATATGTAGCAGGATAAAAAGGTCTTACTTCTGCTACATCATCTTCTCCTACAGTTCCAAATGGTACAATTGTAGCCCCAAACCTTGCTGCCATTCTCACAAATTCTTGTTGATCGGGCCAAATCAGCTTATATTCTTCACCCTGTAAATTGCAAAGGCTTTGTAATTGAAAAAAACAAGCTTTTGACCAATAAAAAGAAATAAACAATACATTAATAAATCTAAAGAAAAGGTTATGGCAAAATACTTAGCAGCAAAAGAGTGGCTCCTGTTTCATGGTAAATGCCTTTATCTTACCTCAGTCTTTCTTTATAAATTAGTAAGGATGAAATCAATGGCCTAGCAGTTTGTAAATAATAGCAGCATCAATGACATATATACATAAACATGAAACTGAATTTGAAGGATATACCAGTCAAAAAGTTAATACGAAAAAAAAACATTAGACAAGGGAAAGATTTATGCTTGGGGAGCTATTCAGTCTAATTTCACTGTCTACTGGTAACTGGTGAGCACTATTAAACCTTCCTGCTTCAACAGCCTAAGCGCATGATTAAAAGGAATAATTTGCACTCCTTTAGGCACCCTTCTTGCCTGCTACTTGTACAATTTCATCCATTAAAAATATGCTGCTGCCTGGGAATCTCAGAAACAGAATATCAATGATTTTGAAACTCGCTTGAGTTAAAGTTCTTATGCATATGCACCATGTCACCTACAACTTTTTTGTATGAATGCAACAGAACATGCCACTGATATTTCAAAAAAACCATCCTCAAGAAATTCACCTAAAAAACATTCAAGCCAAGTACAAAAAATTTGGCCCTACCATTAATAACTTAATATGAATCTCTCCAAGAGATGCTAAAGGTTAGATTACAACAGAAGCCACGTAACAAAGCTCTCATCAGTTACTATATACCATGATATTTACCACAATTTCTAACATGGAAGCCATATGAATCCTAGTTCCAATAGTTTGAAATCTTAGTATTTGCACAGTCTATAAACTAATAACCACGGAAACTTGAATTCCACTTCTTATTGTTTTAGTTACTTAATAACCATAAAACTTTTTAATACATGAAATAGGTGGTCTGATGGTGGCTGCAGCAGCATAGTAAGGTTAGAAGAAACACAGAGTGTGATGGTAGTAGAGAAAGATGACGATGAAGCTACTGTTATAATAAAGTTTTGGTAGGGATAAGAATGGTGCTTTTGCTGGTGGCAAGGAGGTGATGCTGTTGTTGTTGACAATAGTGATGGTGAGGCATCATCCATGAAGATTATGGAAAGAAATCAAGCCACCTTACATGTATGAAGTGCTAAACATTAGTCTTCCAGCCTTGGCTGCATAACACTCTGAATAAGCAATGATTTCCAAACTTTTGCGCTATATCCTCTTGCTTAAATCTCATTTCCAACAAAGAAATAAAGCAAATACTTTGATGATAAGAAAATGACACTTGAAAAATATGATTATCAGCTTGCCAAAAAAATAAATAAATTTGTTGAAATTTAACACAATACAATGAAACTGGCTTACCCTGTGATGAAGGGCTTCTCGAGCTCCTCCAGGATAAAGAAGCACATGTGATTTTGTTGACAGCAAGTTGAAAAGATTGCTGGCTGTGACAGGTACTGCACCCATTACTTTCATCCAATCACCTAAAGAAAATTCAGGAGATGAAACCCCCTGCCCTTCCCTAAATACAACTGGATGCGCTACACCACGAACCATAATATTTTTCTCTCTCAAGAATTCTGGGACAAGGGAATAAACTTCAAGTCCCATCAACATGTGGTAGCCAACTAATAAGACAGGACCTTCATTTGGAACCCCATGAAGACCTTTCACTATCTTTCCATCATTCAAAGTTGAGAACATGGCTGAACCAGTAGCAAAGCGTAACAACCTGAAATTCAAACGATTGTGTTATAATCTTGAACCGTAGATAAACAAATATATGTGCTGGATGCAAGTTTGCAACATAGACTAGCTGTTCATGATGGCATGTAGCCAAAGCCTAGGCTGGAAGCATCAAGCTGGGGTATACCCCAAGGAGACAGGAGTCGCCCCAATACACATATCATGATCAATTAACTTCAAACATAAATATGATTTCCAGAATATATCTACAATTCTTTTAGGCGCTACCTTAGTTACAGAATATATATGCTCATAAGATGTGAGAAATCAACCAAGACCAACCTGAGATTTCAATAGACTTTCTCAAAACAATCATGTTTTTCTTTTTTTGTGCAAGAGGATGTTAACAGTAGAGCCAAGATTTAGACAAAATCAAATGAGAAGGGATAAAGAAACAGAAAGTGTTTAGAAATTAGGAAGGATCTGCTTGACGCATGTTGCAAAATCCTGGCAGGATGTCAGATTTCATGGAAAGAGGCTCTAGCTTGACCAGGATCAAACCTATCTGATCTTATTTTAAATTTAGTCATAAACTTAAGTCCTAGTAAATCAGATCTAAGCATATCAAATGTTCATATCCAGAAGTTTTCATTAAGAACATATATGTAACAATTAAGAAACTGCGTACAAAATTGCTCTGCTGAATTACCCAACTACTTCATCATATCCTTGTTTGAATTCTGACATGCTTGGTGGAATGAAGTCTAAGACCAAATCAATCCTCCTTGAACGACGGTATTTTCCAGTACCTTTAATGACAGTAAGCAAATTAACACCATCTTCCTGTGCCATCACAGAGAAGAACAGAAACAGGAGAAAACAAGTTATAAAGCAGACTTCCAATATCATATAGAAATGAAAGACTGAAAGCCTCATCCTGAGAATATGAGTACAGACAAAAGCTAATGGCTAAATATCTGACACATTAGAAAGGCAGGTTGAGGAATATTAAAGTCCTTTCTTATGAATATAACATTGTTCAATGTACCAGCTAAAGATTATAAGTTCGAATTTATATTGATAACACGGTACGAGAAAAACATTTCCATTCATTCTGCGTTGGGGAAATTGTTATCAAATTGGGGGTCAAGGGAAGGGGTGGCTATTACACGGATGGAGACCACCTTGATAATAAGATATAACCCTAAATAAACTCCCATCTTCCGAAAGTCAGAATACCTATAGCAGAATTTATCTCAGAACATTGCATATAAGTAGTACAACTATCATGCCATGTCAACAAAGAATAACTAGCATCATGGCAAGTGCTAATGGAGGGAAAGACGGGTCACTAAGCATCAAAGAAGATGACAGTAGGCAGAAAAACAGAATTACTTTCTGAAATTTTTCCACAGTAGGCAGATATAAGTTCTTATATCTAGAAGATAATCCAACGTCTCAATTTTGAAAGGGAAGTGAGTGAAATTTGAGACCTTGAATCTTTCAGCTAGTGCTCACCTGTTTTGACAACTTCAAATACGGGGAGCAAGGATAGGTCATAAACTGAAAAGGCATTTATGTGAAAAGAAACAAAAGCAGCTGCATTCTGAACATGTCAACTTGGCTGCAGAATACACTCAAACTTATTCAGAAAGGCATTGTTACCTGCTGGTAGGCAGGCTACCAGGCTGCCTTAGTGGTTTCTCAAGATAGAACTATTTTCTGAAACTCCTTAGTTAAGGAGTTTCTGAGCATAGGATAATAGGCTCTCATTCCTGGTCACCGTATTAGAAGAATCACTGGGTCTGGTATGCATGATAGCTAGTTGACATGGTACTGACACTGGTCGGTTAAAAGGATGGTATCTTTACTCAATAGCTAAGACTAAGATGATGATTCAAATTAAACAGATTAGAATTTTGTTGTGCTCTCGAAATGAGTTGCGGAGAATCACACATCATCTAAGCACCCACATGTACATGCTTCCACTTAAATCAGACACAAATATATATATACAACCACTTATTGTCACATACCAGTAAAATATTGTGCCCATTGTCCTTGAAATAACGTACTGTGCAATTCTTTAATGTCCTTTTCAGACGCTGAGCTTCATCTCCACTAGGAAGCATGTAATCATTTCCACTAAAAGACAAATAAAAGATCAACTTTAAAACTTCTTGACAATATTTCCATAACCCATCTCAAAGAAAACCAAGCATGAAAAGAAATTCAGGTTAAAGAACATATTTCCTACAATACATAAACATGTTAACCTAACTTAGTAACTGGATATTCCATTGCAGGTCGCAGCATACAGTTGTGCTAAAACAATTACATAAATGAGTACAAATATTCAATTCATGTTGATAAGCCTGGAATGCATATTCTATAGTTAAAAGCAGTCAGCTTCATGGTAGCAACTAAAAGAACTCGAGTATGAAGCAAAGAACCTTCAGCGATTATTAGGGCATTGCAAAGACAGTTTCTTTTAAGGTATGTGCTGAGATTTCTGTGTAAATGATAATGGAACTTGAATATGCTGGCTATCAGCCACATGAAGATGAGAAAAAGAGTGATTAGTGTTAAAATCACGACATAGAAAGGACAAGAGAGAGAATATTCTGAAGGACTTTTGAAATACATACATATGGAAAAGAGAAGCAATAAAATTGTGCCTGGGATGCAAAGGAACAAGAATAAAAACTCAGAAGAATAAAGACCTCGACAGGACTAGCACTTCAGCTTTCACAGCATGAAGCCGGGAATTAGCATAAGAAGCCGCTGATTTGAGCAGTTTCAACTTCCAAATAAGAGTGTCCTTGGGAATTATATCAACCAAATCCTGGAACATTTTAACATCAGTTCATGGCCTCGGAAAAAGAAATAAAGAGATGAGGAAAAAATACATAGCAGGACAACAAGCTGAAGGCACATGAAGATTTGTTATATCTAACTAAGATAACCAAAAGAAGTACATTGCACCATTTGGCTGATGTGCAAAAGCAGTGACCATGAGAAGATCCAGTCTGTCATTGCTAGAGACTGTACAGAAGCATATTGTGCTAGCAATAGAGTCATAATCAAGTTCTACGCAGAGGAGCAATAGGCAAGAGACTGTGTAGAAGCATATTGTGCTAGCAATACAGTCATAATCAAGTTCTACGCAGAAGAGTAATTGGCAAATATACAATGGGGAATTTATCATGATACAATTAATTAAATAGAGTCATTGTCAAATAACCAATTAAACCCAATAGCTTAACTATTAGGTGAAGTTTCAAGATATGATTTATATTATTCTCTAATATGTTCCCTCAAGTGAAAGCCTTTTTTAGGTTTAAAACATGCATGGGTGTACACCATTTTGTGCTTGATTTTTATCAAATAAATAGGGATGGTGAGATTTAAACTCGTAATCACTTAGTTCTCAAGGCTCTGTTACCTTATTAAAAAACTATTTCAACCCAATAACTTAAACTATTAAATAAAGTTTCAAGATATAATTATATTATTTTCTAATAGTCATGCAGCAGATGACTATGCATAGCCTATCTTGTTTTTGCCTATTAGAATCATTTTTTATGACAATATTACATCTTTCAGTTTGTATTTAAGATCTTCAGCATATTATATCAAGATAGAAGATTATAACAGATATAAAATCTTATTGGTTTCTTAAATTTAATAAAATATAATGTGTAAAAGGCTAGGCAGTGCTATCTTCATTTCTTACAGAAAGATGAGGCAGCAAAGCAATGAGATTCTGAAACAATTGTTCAATTTGAAATCTGGGAGGTAGTCTATATTCAATATTGACCCTTGCCATCTGCACTGGATTACCTAGTGTAAGGAAAAAAACAGAGAGAGAGGATAAATAGCAACAGTGAAGCAATTTGAAATCACAAAACAATACCACTGAATGATGACAATCACAGCTTAACAAGATAACTGACAGAAAAAAGTTATTAAAGAAAGTTTCAACTTCCAGGAAAAAAAGCGTTTATAAGAAGGCATTTGAAACAAGGTAATCATGTTTTCTGAAGAAAAAAGGAGGAGATCCAAACAATTTTTTCAGAGTAGAAGAACTGAAGTAGAATCATGATAAATCTGTCTGGTTTAAAAATACTAGTAGCATATTGTTCAATACAATGACAGGAATTGGAATGTGATTAAGTAGTAACAAAATCTAATTCTGTAACAAAATATTAAATGAAATAATGGAGCAAAAAAGAGCGTTTATAAGAAGGCATTTGAAACAAGGTAATCATGTTTTCTGAAGAAAAAAGGAGGAGATCCAAACAATTTTTTCAGAGTAGAAGAACTGAAGTAGAATCATGATAAATCTGTCTGGTTTACAAAATACTAGTAGCATATCGTTCAATACAACGACAGGAATTGGAATGTGTTCAAGTGGTAACAAAATCTAATTCTGTAACAAAATATTAAATGAAATAATGGAGCAACAGATCATATATACCCATAACAAAGCTAAGAAGATACGGAAGTGCATTGTATAGTCCATCAGGCAACGCCTCCCAAAGGGGAATCAGGGGTCGAAGCTGTGACCTGTCAAATGATGTAGCTAAAATAAAAGGGCTTACAAGTCAGACAGCAGCAAGGAGCATCAACCAAAGTGTTCTATGAAGAAGTCATCAAGAAGATGAGTGAACAAATTGCTGCATATCTGGAAACTGACCTGGGTTAGCTAGTATCACTATAAGGTCAATTTCAGGATTACGAGCAGCAACAGCAAGAACAAGACATCCCCCGAAGGAATCCCCCACTAGATAAATTGGCTTATTTGGAGATGAGGCATGCTCTAGCCTCACTGTTTCTTCGACAAATTTCACCAGCCCTTCATGCAAAAAAAATTCACTTAAAGCATGGATAGAGAACGATGTCTCCTCAGTGGAAGAGGATAGCCAGACGGAAAAACCCAACATATAGGTATGAGGATGAGGACAGCACATGCAAGTAAAGTGCAATTTCTGAAGAATTAGAAGATCTAACCATCACAAGTGATAGAAGAAAAAGCAAGCCCGGTTGGCTGAGATTTTAGTTTAACTGTTAAATAACTCAATCAAGTTATCTGATGAAAGGTTAAAACCTTCAAATGGTGTTCGATCATTCACTGGAATATGAAGGCACCTGACTTCAAACACCCTGCAGTTTGACAAAACTCTTAGGTGTAAGCCACCTATTAGCTGAGCTAAAAATAGCAGAATGAAATGCGAAATTCAATCATCAGTGATTTGCATTGACTAGTTAAAAACCTTGACCACTTTTCATAGTACTGCTACTTTACCAGGTTCTAGTCCACAAGATGACCAGAAACCACACAAGGAAAAATTCTACCCACAAATAACAAGAAAATGAGCGCAACAAGAGGATGCACTTGACTTAAAACATAGGTGGCTCCTTTTGCCAATCCATATCCAGATTATATATGTGCATAAAAGCATGCACTAGTGATTTTCATATAGCCGAATGCAAAAAATTTAAACTGGCTCAAGCAGTTTTAGATAAGAGGACAGGAATTCGGAAGCTACACCCTGTTGATGTGAATTTTCAGGTGGAAAAGTTATCGACAAGAGTAGGGTTCGAGAAATATCATCTCAGAGCAGAACGAAACCTTTTCAGCTCGGTGAGCACTTATTTGAGGTTCTCACACAGTGTGATTTGAACTGACTTTTGTGCCAACAGTTCCAATGAATATTTAACAAGTTGATAGTCTAAAAACAACGATAATAGTTATCGTGATTGTCTTGAAGTAAGAAATAACAAAACTTACTTCCCGAGAGCTTTATGATGCAAAGTCAGGGCCAAGCCAACACCAACAATCCCTGCATGCACGAATACAAAAAACAAATAGCACTGCATTTAATAAAAATCTCAAAAATCACATAGCTAAATGAGGAATTCCAAGCATTTTAAATAAAATATTGAAGAGCAAAACAACTCGTTGGAAACCAGATACTCAGAAACTAGAAATCCAGTCCTTCTTTTAACATGTATTCATAGTTTGGAAACCTTGTATCTAAGTTAAATTTAATAAAAGAGTTTGACACAACGAAGACAATAATTACCAGGGCAAAACAGAAGAATTGGAGAATCTTTTAAAGGCTGCCCACACTCAGTAGGGCAAAACCACCGGGGAGGCCCCCCATCAGGCCTAATCATCTCCTTGGCTCCTTCAAAAAAATCCTTCGCAGTCTTGGTCCCATAACCGTCATCCCACAAGACATCCAAGTCACTTGAAATAACATCTTTAACGCTCTTTTTATTAATCCCACGCTTTAAGCTCGCATTCCATGAATCAATTCGACCCCCGACTTTTTTATCTTTCTCTCCAATAACTAGAGCGGAATCCGATGGCGATACTTTTGAGCTACCACCACCACTACCACTTTGAACTCTCACTTGAAACCTGGGAGTAATCTCTGGAGTTGAGAAAAAACAATGCAATGCCTGAGAACTAACAACTGATGCCATGGGTTGTATAAGAAATTATCTGTTTAAAGCTATATGTATTGCCAAGCACCTATTAGAAAATATCAGAGCCCTTTTCTAAGTAACTTGCCAACAGAAGGAGACACAAATGAACAGAAATCTCTTGGAATGTTGTTAACCGAGCACACTATCTTACAGATAACTCAGTAGGATTCACCGGTTGAACAACTTGGGACTTTCTACTAGCACATGAAAAGAACCACGATGCTAAATGCATTAGAGTGTCCACTCAAACAATCAAGACTGCTACGACGGCATACTTTTGCCAGAACTTCTAGACCTTTTTCAAGATTCACGAATTGACCAGCATGGGACTTCTTTCAAATACCAAAAATTTAACAGAGAAAGACACTCAAGGACACCATGTACTTGAAAATAGCTAAAAATCCAACAAAACAAGCTAAAAAACCCCAAAAATCACTCGAAATTCCAAAGAAACACCGCCACTCTCCGCTTTATACTAAAGAGAAAAATATGAACCAAAAGGCAAACTTGAAGCAAACCCAGAAAGCAAAATATCACTTGAATGGCTTCTAGATTATGTACTTGTGCTTCTGCAGTTTTATCGCATACGACACAGAAATGCAAAAATATAATTAATTATATCATCATAATTATAAATAAAAAATTGAGAATGGGGTAATTTGTATAATTTGTGAGTGTAACGCGAGCTTTGGACTTGCCTGCTGCTCTTTTAGATATTTGAATGTAGTCTTCTTTTGCGTGTACGATAAACGGATCACTTTCATATTTCCTCTGGCTATAGTCTGGCCAGCAGGCCCCGTCGCTTGGTTTTGCATAGCCATGCAGTTTTCACAGCATAAATTATCTGTTGAGTGTTTGACACGCACATTTAAAAGGCTGTTAGATTTGTTTTTGGTGAAGGGGGGCTGCCATAACTGCCATCGTCACTTTCATTAGCTTTAAAGACTTGGAGGGAACCGTTTCGAGATTATTTTAAATTTTCAGGATTGATTTTATCCAGAAAATTAAGGATTGCTGGCTCCTATATATGGATATTCACCGGCTATGTTTCTTTATCTTCATTATTTAATTATTGAGTAAAAAATTAGATATTTACATTTGATTTATTGATTCCATAACTGTCATATGACTATTATTTAATATTAAAAAAATAGTAACCTATATATGATAAAATGATAAATAGTATATGAGTGTGTGTTATGTGAGATATATAAATATTATATTGGATTAAAAAAAACATAAATATATATATATTAGAAGTCGGATTTTAAGTCAAGTTTTATAAAATTTATACCGCATTTATTATTTTTTAAGTAATATAACTATTTTTAAAAACTCATTTATTTGGATAAAATCAATTTCAATGATGGTATTCATTGAGTTTAGATTAAATTCTACGCATTCTCCTCCTTGCTTGGTGAAAGGGATTAATCTCAGAGTAAATAGGCCCAGCAGCCATTGCTTTCCTTTCTCCTTCAAAGTTTTTTGTTTTTTTTAATAATCTCAAAGTTATTTTATAGTTTACGCAATGTATATATGTATTTATAGCCATCAAAGGCATCTTAGGCCTTGAAAGTTATGGCCATCTGCCTCCCGCTATCTCCAGAGAAGTGGCTGAGACTACAGAACGTACCACACTTCTTGACCTTTACTTTTTGTTCAAAACAATTTTAAGCTTTTTCTGCTTAGGTTCTGCTTAGGGGTGTGGTTTATTTTTGTTTGTTCGTAGAAAAGTTTTTTTTTATAAATAAATTTTAAAAAAATAATTTTTTAAAAAATAAATTAATTTTTGATGTTTGATAATGTTAGGAAAAATAAACTGGAAAATGCTTTTTAGTGTTTGGTTATGTTATAGAAAATGAATTGGAAAATAATTTATTAATATTTTATTTTTTCAAGTTTATTAAAATAATGAGGAATAAATCTTACAAATTAAAAAGTTGAATGAAAATAAAATTGAAAAAAATATAATTTCATAAATTATCTCAAATAAAATAAATAATAATCGAAATAATAAAGATAAAATCTAAAAAAAATGAAGAAATTAAAATAATAATAATTAACATTTCATAACGTATTTCAAATAAAATAAGTAATAATCAAAAGAATGAGGACCAAATTTGATAGATAAAAAATTTCAATAAAAAAAATAATAGGAGAAAAGCAAATAACAATTATAAAAATAAGAACCAAAGTTAATATAAAAATAAAATTTTAATAAATAAAATTAAAAAATAAATATTTAAAACAAAATATATATAGCAATCAAAAGTTTGAGGATTAAATTTGATATAATCAGCAAATAATGATATTTTTAAATTTATCACAACTTCCGGAAAGTGTTTTCTACCCAAATTTTTCATGAAAATACTTTCCTAAAAATCAAGCCAAATTTTCTTTAACTGGAAAGTATTTTCCGTTGATTAACTTTCCTAACAGCAAACAAACACAAGAAAGTTTGGAAAGTAATTTCTCAGAAATCATTTTCCGGAAAACAAATACAACAAAAAAGAATAATATTTTTTTGAAAACCAAGCTAAATTTTTCTTTAACTAAAAAATATTTTTTATTTATCAGAAAGTATTTTTTATTAATTGGAAAATGTTTTTTTGTTGACTGAAAAGTATTTTTTGTTGATCAATTTTTTTAATAATAAATAAATATATAAAAAATTAAAAAATTATTTTTTAAAAACAAATATAACATAGTCATCAAATGTACACTTGCCTTGAAAGTTATGGCCATCTGCCTCCCACTATCTCCAGAGAAGTGGCTGAGCCTACAGAACGTACCACGCTTCTTGGCCTTTACTTTTTGTTCAAAACAATTTTTAGCTTTTTCTGCTTCAAGGATGTGGCACAAAAATACATGGCCAAGCCTGCTACACAACGACTTGGTGGAGGAAACAGACAGGTGCAAGTGCATTGCAGTATTTTTCTTAACATTTTCTACTCAAAACATATAACAGAAGGCAACTATTTCTACACCAAAAAACAATTAATTCATGATATTGTCGTGTTTAATTGATTGCCCTTTTATCTTGTACATCTAAAAGGCTTGGCTTCTCTTAGGGTCCTTCACTGTTCATATGAGCAGTACGTGAAGGTCTTTGGGTCTGCACCTGGGTAAGATCTGGGATATTTTTCTCCTTTGCGTGGGACAAGGTAGAAAACGTAATTTAGAGAGTGGACGAAGACTTGAGATGATTTTCAGAAAGTGGTTTTGCCCCTCTTCGCTTCGGGATCTTGATTTGGTTCCCAGTCAGGGAATGCAAGTGGACCTGAGGTGTTTTTTTTTACAGGATTACAGGATTTTGTTTACCGACGCCATATAAATTATATATATATATAAAAAAAAATAAAAAAATAAAAAAAAAACAGAGATGCGGGGCAAAAATTATAGAATGAATAGATGGAGACAAGGGAATTGTATTATTTCCAAAAAGGAGAGAAAAACACCATCTTCATAACAGTGTTTCTATGACTAGGTAATGTACCCCACAATACAAATCTACAACGCTTTGGACACCGTGACTCTATTTTTGGCACCACTTAAGACAGTTCCTAGGATACTCCTGGTTAATTCTCCACCCATCGCAAATCTCTCTATTGCCACATGCAGACTTGCCCTACAACTTGGCGTTGTCCAACCAAAAAAAAAAACTTGCATGACGGCTAGACACGGCTCAAAATTTATATACCATCAGTCCAACAAGAGGAAAATGCGAAAGTATCTTCTCAGCAGGTTCGGCAATTGATTTTCCAAATTTACAAGGGTCGATTGGATACGTCCATTCAAGTGAAGTACCCCAAGAAGAATCTATATCTTCCCCGGTATCTCACACAGGCACATGATTTCGATCATCACAAGCCAAGCTAACCTGTGATCCAATAAATAATAATAGCCTGGAAAATGATCAGCTATTTGTTCATATATATACACAACACATAGCATGAGTACAATGACAAGGCAATGTCCAAGAGTAGCCTCTCACAAATGAATCACATATAAATTCTAGAGAAAAATAAGATTTCCTGCAGTTTTTAAAATGCATCCTACTATCAAAATCATTTGACTACCTTTCCTTTTTCCAACTAATATTTCAACTCCAGGAGAAGGGGGGGGGGGATTACGAGTTTGGAAGAATAAAGCTAGGTAAAGAAAACAAGTTGGCACTCACCTGCTCCTAAAAGTTGCATGGAGTCACCTTCCCTAAACTACTCTGTAATTAAGGGTCAGATCCTCGGGTTTCTTCCATATGTAAGCTCGCACTGTAGCTAAACTCATTTCTGGGGATAAGACCTGCAAAAGACAGTCATTGCTTGAGAAAATATTGCAAAAAAAAACATAAAAAGAGAAGAGCGTGTAAATAGAAGAACGGCAGAAGTTTATTCTTATATTTGGGCCACAGGGTGACTTGTCTTCTCATACAATATACCATTTTAGTTTGAACCTGCGCAACACATAGATGATGTGCTCTAGGACATTCTCTGCTCATGAATTTATTGTGCTAAAATGTCCAGCTAAAGATTGATGAACCATTTTAAAAACAGATGACTCAACAATCCTATGGCGTTAAATACATTTGGTGTTTTTTTTTTATTTATTTAAGCTGAAGAAGCTTATTATCCAAGTAAATGCTTTTGAGTGCATTTCCCTGATAAAATGAAAATCAAAATGACCTGATTATTGCACAAGATCTCAATGGAAGGCTTAAGCTTTTGCCAAGGCTTCAATCCAGATCGGAAAGATCCATCTCCAACCACTGAATGCTGCAAGGGTCCTCCAATTCCAGGAGCAAATGTTCCATCAGTATTCACATTATCCAGTGGTTTGTCAAGGACCAGCTTCTCTACAACATAATTTACAACCTATGCAAACATGTTAGTGAAAATCAGTAAAAAAGGATTATTCAGCATATCACAGAAAGTATACTGGCAAAACAGATCCTAACTTGGGATTTGTTTCACATCTTATTTCTTTATAACAGTGACTAAAGCTAAAGGTTGACTGTATCAATGCATCTCTACTGAGGAACAAGAGTATTACACTTTCACCTTTAGAAACATGAAATTAAGAATATGAACAGGTTATGAAACGGAAGCCTATCATATCCATGATTTATGTAGAGTAAGATAACTTATTCTGCAATAAGACCATTATCACATGATAAGACTGCTAGATGACATCTGGAAAAGACAATTAATTTCCATTTCTTGATACAATAAATACTCTTGATTCTTCTGCAGATATCTAGCTGAAATACAGAGTTGCACCCAAATGCATCATCACATGAGGATTAATTCTTGCCATCCATTCGTATTTTACACAACAAAAGTGGGATAAAAACGCAAAATTGAAACACATAGATAAAGAAACATTCTTGAGAATATAATTTCAGAAATCTACAAATATCAATTTATTTGACTTCTCATCACTTTCTTGATTGTTCTATTATATAGCACAAAACATTTAAAACCTAAAGCATCGTACAGTATATAAATAATCCATGCTTTTCTGATCTATTTATAGAAACACTGCTTTTTTATGGAAGACGAAAGGCCAGAAAGGAAGTGACTGGAAGAATTTTACAAAAAGCAGTTGAAAGGCCAATCCATATGAACTGCCTACTCAAAACTAAAGCATGCTTAGCAAACTAGCAGCAGCAACAAAGTGTAAACAGAAC